TTTTGATAAATAAAAATAATTTTACTTTTTGAATTTAGTTAAAACCTAAGTTTTTTTTATGGATATTTAAAACCTAAGTTTTTTTATTTTTATTTTTTGGTTTCTCGCCTGGTATTCGGGCTTTGCCTTGACTAATCCAGACTCGACTAGCGTCGCGCACCTGGAAATGATGAGTGAGTCTCCTAGCGAGGACTGTTGCGTACATAAGATCTCGAATTCAATATCTTCCTTAAACTGAAACAAACCGCTTACCACTTTATCCAACCTCTCATTAGTATTTAAAACTTAAGTTAAAAGTACATTAAATGGATATTTTTACTTTTAATTTATATATATAAAGTTAACATTATTTTTACTTAATTCTATAAGTACCAAATAAAAATTTTCGAAATAAAATTAAAAGAAAAAAAAAATTCAAACTTTAAAAATGAAAAATTGAATCCACAATTTCTTCCGTTGATCGTCCAAACGAGCCACGGCACAACACCCTTTCCACGGTTTACAGACGAGGTCCAAAACCCTAGGACTCCCTACCTTCGTATCTGCTTCTCCGATCCGTCCATCCATCGTTCAGTTAGTCAATCAATCGATCGCTCAATGGCCGACGAAGCAGCATCCACTCCTCCGTCGGCGTCGGCTGCACCGCTGGGATCTTCGGTTATACCCATAGTGAACAAACTACAGGACATATTCGCCAATCTTGGGAGCCGTTCAACAATAGAGCTGCCGCAGGTGGCGGTGGTTGGGAGTCAGAGCAGCGGAAAGTCCAGTGTCCTCGAGGCACTCGTCGGCCGTGATTTCCTTCCTCGCGGCTCTGATATCTGCACTCGCCGTCCACTCGTGCTGCAGCTCATCCAGGGCAAGGAGTCGGATGGGGAGTATGGAGAGTTCCTTCACTTGCCTGGCAAGCGCTTCTACGACTTCTCAGAGATCCGCAGGGAAATTCAGGTTTGTCAAAGCTGGCTTTTGGGGCTTTCTTTTGTCTGGTATTCTAATTTGGACTGGACATGTTGATGAATAAGTGTGTATGGCAATGCCTCTGTACCTAGATATGTTTAGAAGTTACTCGCTAGGCGCTCTGATACTTTATTTTTCTGTTTGTAACAATCTCGAATTTGTACTGAGTTGAGTTAGATTATTGCCAAGGGCTTGTAGAATTCAGGCCACAATGGAAATGTAAATTTAAAGAATTGTTTTGGAGCAAGTAAAGCATTGATTCAGATGACATGCTATAGACTTGAGATGCACTAAATGTGGGTGCAAGCGAGGAAGTTGATAATTTAGATTTGTTTTTTAATCACGTTCACAGTGAGTGAAAAGGGGTATCTGACCACCTGCTGGGAATCATTTATGTAGAAGAAAAGTTATGATTTACCTCCTTTGTGAAATAACTCACCATATATGGTGTTTTCTCTATAGCTTTCTGGCAAATCAGAGGTTTGTTTGCTCAATATCTTGTTAAATATCAACCAATTAACCCCTTTGATTATTTCCCAATAATTTCAGGCTGAGACAGATAGAGAAGCAGGAGGTAACAAAGGTGTGTCTGACAAGCAGATTCGATTGAAAATCTACTCACCAAATGTTCTTGATATCACTCTTGTTGATCTGCCTGGTATAACAAAGGTTCCAGTGGGTGACCAGCCCTCTGACATTGAAGCTCGAATTAGAACAATGATCATGTCTTACATCAAACAGCCTAGCTGTCTGATTCTAGCTGTTACACCAGCTAATTCGGATTTGGCAAACTCCGATGCTCTTCAAATTGCAGGAAATGCTGATCCTGATGGTACGTTCTACTTTATCACAACTTCTGTTGGTTGCCATTTGATTTGATCTTTAAACAGCTAGCTTATATTTCTTATTTATACTGGCAGGTTATAGAACCATTGGCATTATCACAAAGGTACAGAGTTTTATTGATTCTATCTTTTCTAATATGAGTTTCCTTGCATATGTAATCTGCTAATGTTTTCTGATGAGTTTGACATATTTATTTGTGAATCCAGTTGGATATTATGGACAGAGGTACCGATGCACATAATCTGTTGCTTGGGAAAGTGATTCCCCTTCGACTTGGTTATGTAGGTGTTGTGAATCGTAGTCAGGAGGTAAGCCTTATAAGAGCTGAGGATATTAATTCATGAATTCTATTATATTCACAGGCCTAACTTTTGTTTATCTATGGGTGTCTTCTAAATAGGATATTCTGCTCAATCGCAGTATCAAGGATGCACTTATAGCTGAGGAGAAGTTCTTTCGTAGTCGTCCTGTATGCCTGTGTCTTCCTCGATAATTTTTTCATGTCTTAGTCCAGTTTCTGTTTTCAATTTCTTTACCCATCTTTTTGTTGTTATATAGGTGTACAATGGCATTGCAGATCGTTGTGGTGTCCCACAGTTGGCAAAGAAGTTGAACCAGGTAGAGAACATGCTACATTTATTTCCAAAGATCTCATGGAATATAAGTAATTGTTCAGGCAATTGATGCTTTTATCCATTGTCTGTACCCTCTATGGACATTTGTTAACTTGTGCCCGGGCCATCTTTTTCTTACTCTTGCATACTTATGGTTGAATGTTTTGTCTTTTTTTCACCTTAATTGCTGTGAACTTCTTATTTTGAATTGTCTTTATGTGGTTTATGAACTCAGTGAAGTCATCTACACGCTTGTGTGAGTTAGGAAAGCCTTGATGCTGGTTGGATACTTATTGCAAGCATTTTTCTTAGATCTGCCTTGTGACCAGCTTTTTTGGCTGGCATGCATGTGTAACACCTGGTACAGCATTCATGTTCTTCATTTACTTCTTCATTGAGCCTCTATGTTGTCTCCTTTGCAGATTTTAGTACAACATATCAAAACAATTCTTCCAGGGCTGAAGTCACGTATTAGTTCTCTTCTTGTTTCTGTAGCCAAGGAGCATGCTAGCTTTGGAGAAATCACAGAATCGAAGGCATGTATCTTTTTTTTTTTTTTTTTTGGGGGGGGGGGGGGGGGGGGGGGTTATAACTTAGTTGAGAAAAAGCATTCCATCTCATATGTAGCTTACAAAAATTGTGGCTTTTTTTTTTGTTTCAGCACCAAACTTGACCTTACAATTTTATTTTTATTTTTCCTGATATTCTAGAGTCCTTATTTTCTTTGCTTCTGGTTGATGCTTTCATAAATCTTGGGATTCATGATTTACTTACAAAAACATTTTTGAAACCTGTAGGCTGGCCAAGGAGCTCTTCTCTTAAATATTCTTTCAAAATACTGTGAAGGTAAAAATTGTGATGCTTGCCTTTTAGTTTTTATTTTTATTTTTATTTTTATTTTTTCCAGCGTCTGCACATGTTTTCTTCTCTAGTTAATGTTTTGAAATTTGTTGTCATACAGTATGCGTTTTGTTAACTAGTGGCATGTTTAAGTTTTTTTAATGATGCCCATAATTAAGTTTCCTGCTGGAAACAGCATTTTCATCAATGTTAGAGGGGAAAAATGAAGAAATGTCTACATCTGAGCTTTCTGGTGGAGCACGGATTCACTACATTTTCCAATCCATCTTTGTTAAGAGTTTAGAGGTGAGGGCATGATCTCTTTCTACCTGATATTTATTTGTTCTTTCACCATTTTTAATGTAGATGGATTTTTGTAATCTTGTGAAGGAGGTTGATCCGTGTGAGGACTTGACTGACGATGACATTCGAACTGCAATTCAGAATGCAACTGGTCCTAGATCTGCATTGTTTGTACCAGAAGTAGGTTCTTATATTTTAAGGGTTTATCTTATAAACATTTTTGTTTTGGTTTTAGAGATCCAAAAATTTCTTTTATTAAATTTTTTCTTGCAATTATTATTTTAATATGTATAACTCTCTCTTATTTGTATAGGTCCCATTTGAAGTACTTGTTCGAAGGCAGATTGCTCGTTTGCTAGATCCAAGCCTTCAGTGTGCCAGGTTCATATATGATGAATTAATAAAGGTATACAATTTCGTAAGTGCTATTTTTGTTGTCTCACTATACCATTCTCTTCCGTTCTGTTTCTCTAACTGTTTTCTCTTCAGATTAGCCATCGTTGTATGGTCAATGAACTTCAGCGGTTTCCTGTCCTAAGAAAACGCATGGATGAAGTCATTGGAAACTTCTTGCGGGAAGGGCTTGAACCATCAGAGACAATGATAGGGCATATTATTGAAATGGAGGTACTAAGAAGTCACTAGAACTTTGAAAGTCTTGCTGCTTTATACTCATTAAAGAATTTCTATCTTAAGCTGGATGCTTAAGGCTTGTTAACAGAAGTAACTTATCTTTATTTATGCAATTATTATAATAATTAATGTCAGTCAATTGGCATGACTTCCAGAACTATTTAGTATGAGTATTTAATTGCCTTTACGTTTTATTCTTCAAAAGTTTAAATTCATAACAATAACTATTGTTATGTTGTTTTGACACCACTGCATTTGAGTCAGTTTTATGAAAAATAATGTATTATTGTTGTTGTTGTTGTTGTTGTTATTGTTATTGTTTTTATTTTTATTTTTATTGTTGGGGGAACAAATTTATTGATAATTCTTTTTGTTTCTAATATTTATCATGTTATATACATTGTGAACTTGAATTGTAGTTGCTTCATGTTCTCTGCTTTCCAAAGATTCTTGGTCATCTGCAATCTAAGCAGTTGAATTTTATAGATGGACTACATAAATACATCCCACACTAATTTTGTTGGTGGGAGCAAGGCAGTAGAGATTGCAATGCAGCAGGTCAAGTCTTCTAGAGTTCCTGTGCCTATTTCCAGATCAAAGGTATGGGCCTGTGTACTAAAAGCTTCATTGATCTTTTGTGTTTCTGTCTTGAGTTCTCAATACTTATTGCTCATGTTTTCCCTTTTTCTTTAGGATGGAGTGGAGCCTGACAAGGCACCAGCTTCTGAAAGAAGTTTGAAATCTAGAGCTATTCTTGCAAGACAAGCTAATGGAACTGTAGCTGAACAGGCACTTACTATCTTCTTGTCTTTCTTAGTTTCTTCCATTCTCTCTATTCTGGTCTTTATAATTAATACTCTTAAGTTGTTTTAGCCTCATTTTTTTAATCCAAGTTCATTCACATGCAGGGAATTCGGCCTGGGGCTGATGTTGACAAAGTTCCATCTTCTGGTAATATGATAAATTAAAGCAGTTGTTTTCAATTTGTTTTACATAGATATATCTATATGTCTTGACAGATGGTCTTATGATAATATGTTGCGTAACCACGGGCTTTCTTATTTGGGGCTTGGGGTGGTGGATTGTCAATGGTGTTGTACAAATGTGAATTTTTTTTGTTCCGTGCTGTTCTTTTTTGTATTACTCCTTTTTTTTTTTTGTGATCATTCGTGTTTTATTTGTGTTCTAAATTAAGTAATTGACTGTTGTTCAGGAAACACAAGTGGTTCAAGTTGGGGTATTTCATCAATATTTGGTGGCAGTGATAATCGTGCTTCTGTTAAGGAGACCACAAGCAGTAAACAATATAGTGAACCTGTTCATGCAAATGCAGTTGAACAATCATTCTCTATGATTCATTTGAGGGAGGTATATACATCAGATTATTTGTCTGGGATTGGGTGCTGATTAGACCTTTATGTGTCACTTAAATTGGTATTTGTATCTTCAAGCTTTATTTGTTTTTCTCAGCCTCCAACTGTCTTGAAGCCCTCAGAAAGCCATTCTGAACAAGAGTCTGTTGAAATTTTTGTTACAAAATTGCTGTTAAAATCATACTATGACATTGTTCGGAAGAATATAGAGGACTCTGTACCTAAAGCAATTATGCACTTCTTGGTAAGTTTGAATGATCTGATTATCCTTCTTTGCTTTTCTTCTGTATGTATTTATTATTATTATATTTTGGATAAGTTCTTTATGCATTTATCAATTTCTTATTAAGTACCAAACTCTTTAGCATTGTACTACTGGGCTGGGAACTTCTGGAGCTTATTGACTCTATATCTTCTTTAGCATTTTTAAATTACACTTGCTACAATTCAGCTGTTGCCCTATTTTTTTTGGTGTGATATTGCTAGTTATATGTTTGTTATGATTTATTTTAACCAGGTGAACCATACAAAACGTGAATTGCATAATGTCTTCATCAAAAAGCTGTACAGGTAATGCGTATCAAATTTCCAAGCAACCACTTTTGATTTCAGTATATCCTGCCAGTTGCTTATTTTGTCATCTGCCTTGTGATCCAAAACAGAGAGAACCTATTTGAAGAAATGTTACAGGAGCCTGAGGAGATTGCAATGAAGAGAAAACACAATAGAGAAATGCTACGGGCTCTTCAACAAGCTTTCCGGGTGGGTATTGAACTTTATAATCTTTGATGCATCTTCCACATGATGAATCTAATGATCTATTTACCTGCTGATTACCATTTTGCCCTTTTGAACAATATTCTTCTGGATTAATTGTAGTTTATTGGGGTACCTTTAGAAAAATAAATATTTAGGTTTAAGATGTCCTCTCCTTAATATAAGTTTCAATTTAAAACTTCTCAAAACATTTGGTTGGCGCATTTAGCAAAAGTGTTTTGGGCAAATATCCTTGTTCTTTTATTCTAGTTGTTCCAGTTTTATGTTTATGATTAAATTCCACAAGTTTAGAAAATATTGTAATGTTGTATATACATGTAGAAGTCATATTCAAATGTATTAAGTCTCTTTTTCTTCTTCTTCCTTCTTTGGATTAGACACTTGATGAGTTGCCTTTGGAAGCTGAAACAGTAGAGAGGGGTTACAGTTTGGGGTCAGATCCAACTGGTCTACCAAGGATCCATGGTCTGCCGACATCATCAATGTATTCCACAAGCAGTGGTTCCACTGATTCCTACACAGCCTCTCCTAAAAACCCAAAATCACGAAAGTCATCTCATTCTGGAGAGCTACAATCACCTTATGCCAATGCAGATTCTAATGGAAGTGGGCGTCATTACACGCCTGGTCTCTATCCAACGGTTGATCTGTGAGCCATTTGAATATGAATGTTGATCTATTTAATTAGCATTCATTGGTTTGCTGTCCGATTTCTCATTAAAGAAGATCATTAGAATCACAACACCAGAGCTGTTTCATTACAACATTGATGATACCATCTACAGTTAGATATCCGCAAGTCGGATATCGTGCATTCGCCTTTTTGCTTCATATATGTGTTTACTTTGTTCTTAATGATATAGGGTTAAGATTTGCTTGCAAGCTCCATAAAGCATAAGTGGGAGCTTTTTACCTGTACCTTATGCTAGAAATAATTTTTCTTCACCTCTTTCTCTATGATCATTTTTGTCGAACCTTTAAGCATATTTGTTGACATTATTCCAGTGTACCATGCTTCAACGTATTCCAGTCCAGTCTTATGCTGCTTTTGTTCACGGCATTTTGCTTTTTAAAGAGTTGAGTGTACCTATTCCAGAACTCAAGGATATGTGTAATGAAAAGGCAAAAAGTTCATATTAGGGCCAACGGTAGTAGTCTATAAGTTATCAGATGTTTATGCAAGGGGAAATAGTTCCTTTTTTAATTCAATTCCCCGGCCATCTTTTGTTTTTAATGAGCGAAAAATTTGGTTTGGTAAATTTAGTCATTACTCTTATTCACAATTATCTTCAAAATGTTTATATATCATTAAATGAGTAAATTTATATAATAATATATATCTTTAGTTGAGTGAAAAGAAAAAATCAATTAGGCTCTGATTTTATTTAACATAATGGATAGCTATAGTGGTTAATAGATTTTTTTTTGTGTGTGCATTTGATGATAAATTATAGGGAGATAGTTTTTTCTTTTTTCAAATCCTTTTTTACTTGATTTAAAATTTCAATATGAAAATTTTAATTTAAAATATCATATTTTTAATCAGTTGAATTACCCTCTCAAGGATGCAGCAATTAATTGATAATTAATAAAATTGGTAGACACCATCACCAACCATTTAGACCAACTATTTAAACAGAAGAAATTATAAATGGAAAAAATCAATTAAACCAAAGACACCCTAAATCATTTTCTATTAAAGAATGATAATCATGTTGACTGACTGTAGTAATTTGTTAACAATAAACATGAGAAATGAGTCAGGAGTGAATTTTTTATATAATTTTATGTAATTTAATAATAATTTTTTTATTTAATTCTAAGTAAAGGTAAAAATT